AATAAAATGTGACAAAATGAGGTGGCAGAAAAATTATTAGAGTAACTAACATAAAACCCATAAAAAATTATAGCATTATTTAAATGTGGATCAGCACTTTTATCTAGGATCAGAATGCCATTTCCTCCTGGTACTTCAGCCTTAATTTTGTGAAATGGGTTATGGAAGCAGCTATATATATATGTGTGTGTGTGTGTGTATATATATATATATATATATATATATATATATATATGTCTCAACTGTCTATCTCTTTATTTCCACATAACAACAGAACTAGAAAGGAGAAGGGAAAGGGGGAGGAAAAGTAAAGAGTAAGTAAGAAAGCTAGTGGAAAACAAAAAGAAAAGCTGGTTAAAAGACGGGGAGTTAAAAAATATACAGGCTTGTTGTTTTCAGTTTCATTACTCCTTTACCCCTCTGATCTTTTAAAGTGGGTAGAGCTTGAATTTTTTTCTTTTGGAGCATGATACACATCTTTCATATGAATATAGGTAGATAGATATTAAACTATTAATATAGAGATGAAAAGGTTTCAGCTGAGAAATTCAGTTAAAACAAAAAAATGTAATTCTTACAGTTTCTCTCTTAGCAGAATTAAATTTTACTGAAAAGTATTTGGCCTGAACCCCCAAAATCTGATATTTGGTTATTTAAATAGATTTAAGGAAATAGGTTAGGCTGATAACTTTTCAGCAACTTATCATATAAGCCTAACTCTCAACAAATATTAAGTCATAGTATTGACAAGTTTTAAAAATTAAGATTTATGATGATTGTGAAGGCTGAAGTAATAAATTTATAACTAGGATAGTTATAGACCAATAGCTAATTCATAACAAAAGTAGCTATACAATGATTAAATTGATAAACAGTCACAGTTACCATGCAATCATTTCAGCTGTAACCATGACATCATTGCTGTTGTAACTATAAATTTATTCATCAACAGTTGCCTGTAATTCTAAAAATAAAATAAAAAATGTAATAATACACAAACTAATAATTATAAGTGGGGCTATGAGTTAACTAACAGTTAATGAGATGGAAAATGGAATCAGCAAACAGAGTTCAAAATCTGACTGGGACAGTTTGCATTCATTCTGCACTAATGTCCTCAGGGGAAGCATGAATACATTTTCTACCCAGATATTGATATAAAGCAGGGTAGTTGGAAACCTTTAACTTTGTAAAGTAGTTCAACTTTGACTTTGGACTCGCAACACTGCTATGTAAAAAAACAAACAAAAAAACTTATGCAGTGGCAGCTCTAAGCTCTGTAGAAGAGTCTGCAGGAATAAAAAAAACAAAAAAGAAAACTATAATAAAAAGCAATGATAAAATAGAAACTATAATTTTAAAGTATCTGTAAAAAAAAAAACTACCTATCATAAGAATAATAACTGTGGGCACGATATATCTTAGTAGTATACTGTAAAATACATTACAAAAAATTTCAAAAGTTTCTTCTATGTGCTGTGATGGGCGATCATGGCTCTCTAAAACTTACTGTTCTTTGTAGCTTTTAGTAAGGTTTGTCTTTTTACTATTTCTCCTAATCCCTTTTTTGCCAACCATTTACACAAGTTTAAGTAAGTTATTCACTATTTTCTTCTTTCTCTCTCTCTCTCTCTCTCTCTTTTGCCTTCAGTATATCTTGTAGGTGTCAAATTTTGAAAGCTCTCTTTCCTCATTATGTGCCCTTTAAATTTTAATTATCTCTTTCTAATTTTAAGTGTCATTTCTGTTTCTATAAAACTAGCAGTATTTGAATTTTATGATGGATTATAATTCTTAATCTAATGATTAAATAAGCTCCTTGCATGTTCCACAACTATAAAATATGTGTGAAAATTCCCTATTGTAATAACAATCAAAAGTATAAATGCAGGTCACTATATAAAAAAGTAAGAAGGTACTAATGAAAAGATTTAAAATTGATAAGGTATGTCATTTCACGGAAGCAAATGATTAATGCATGAAAGCATTATTGCCTTCTCTATTTTACCTTTCTTTCTGTATGTTTATTCTCTCACTAAAACCAAACAGCATCTCTGATTTATCTTTTCCTTTCATCTTTCCTCATAATCAAAATGGAATGGTCTACTATTTATCTAAGGTAATGGCAGGATGTACGGTGTGGTATAATGGATAAAGGCTTAGCATGAAAAATCAGAGAGCTGAGTTCAAATTCCAGTTGGGTTCATTACATAATTACATGCAAATACCTTTGGAAAAGGTATGAATCTATCTCTTCTCTCTCCTCCCAACTATGGGTTGAGTAGCAGTACAGACTGAGTCCTATAGTCATGGTTGGCAACCAGTTTACCACTGAAAGAAATGGCAGCCTACCATGGGAAAATCATTTGCCTAGTCAATCGTGAATTGAAAGATTTAATCCAATCATTCCTATCAAATCATGAAATGAAGGTTGTTCTGAACGGGTTCTCTTACAGATCCTTTCTTGCAAACATGGGTGTTCCCCAAGGCTCTATTCTTGGTCCTACACTGTTCCTGATCTTTATCAATGATCTATCTGATGTCATCAGTTTCCAAGTAGGCATCTATGCAGACAACACTGCCATTTACTCCTGTCTCAATAGTAAATCTGGCAGCACTGACAAAATTAAACTGGCCACTGCTCTTGAAAAGGACCTAAATCCATGATTAACTAGGGCAGGAAATGACTTGTAAATTTGAATGCCTGCCAAACTAAATTGCTCTCATTTAACCACCACAGAGAAACTCTCTGTGTACCATCAGCATGGTTAATGCTGGACTCTGGGAGAGTCTCACTGCACCTTGGCCTCACATTTTTGACTGACTTGAGGTGGAACAACTACATTGAATCAATAGCTACATCTACTGCAAGGAAAGTTGGTTCTCTGTATCATGCCAGAAGGTTTTTCTCATTAGAATCCATCCTTCACATCTACAAATTTGCAATTCATCCAGGCATTGAATACTGTTGCCATATATGGTCTGGTGCCCCTGCTGTTCATTTCAAGGATCTCATCAAAATTCAAAGAAGGATCTGCAATGTAATTGATCCTGACCTGGTATCTTGACTTCAGTTACTTTCTCACAGACGTGATGTGGCTTCCCTCTGTCTTTTCTAAAAATATTTTCATGGCAACTGAACTGACAAGGTATTTTCGCTGGTAACCTGATTTAATTCAAGTGAGCTATCCAGGTCCTACCCTTTTACTTTAGAAATAGTTCAATGTAACCACCACTTCTACTCCAACAGTTTTTTTTCTTCCTCACCCTGACTGTGGAACTCCTTTCCTCTTACTTGCTTCCCTCATAACTATAGTCTTCAAAAATTTAAATCCAGCTTCAACTGTCATCATCTGTTGACTTGAACATCTTTCATCTTTTATCCTTTCCTCAAAACCAATACCCAGTCTTTTCTCTCACTTTCACTCATTGTAACCTCCTGTGTGCTAGTGGTACTCCCACCTTGCTTGGGGTGAAATGCTTAAAAAAAAAAAAAAAAAATGATCACCCAAAGTGTATCATGTTTGGCACTTAATTGAATGACAGGGTGTAAAACACATGCTAACTTACTAATGGAATAACAAACAGAATTATATGATATTAAAAATATTAAAAGGAAAGTCTATTTTGTCAGAAAGAAGAAAACAATAAGACCAATCGGTATTTAAAAATTACTTTCATCATGAGATGATTATCTGCAGTAATGAGAAAACATAGCTGTAACTGTTTAATAATGTATTGACATGACTTAGTAATTCTAATTGATTCTAGTATCTTTAACTTTGCTGTTTTTTAATTTTAACTTGTGCACTCTTTTTTATCTGGAAAAGTATTACAAAATTAGCAAATGATTTAATAAGTTATGCTTAGATATATTTTTTTAACTAAAAATTTTAGGGTAAAACTTTATAATACTTTTAGGCCACATTATTTTAGTAGGTAAAACACTTGAATATATTTTATTTCTACACTGGCTGATTATGTAACACATAATATCATGGGTAGGCTTTATTAACCTTTTTGCTACCAAGTATAATTTGAATGTAACTGCTGTGTTATATTTTTCTTATACATACAGGGTGCAGTGGAAATACCTCCAACTTGATGGCAATGGTGTCTTCATCTAGCTAATGTCTTACCATTATGTGTGAGGTATATGTGTGTGGTATTTCCTGCATATAGGTTGCTTAATTTTTAGGACTGCATAAAACTAGAATCATCATACAAAAGATACTGAAAAGTTCTTAGCTTTCCACAATCAGTTTCTTGAGGTTTAGTCATTAAAATTTTGATTTTGTAAAGTGAGTTGGGCTGAGAACTTTTCATCAACCATCCTTTGTACATAATTGTTACACTATTGATACAAAAGATAAATCAATAAATAAATAAAAGGTAAAGATATTACTTTTGTGTATAATGATTCACCCTCCTCCATTTCTTGCAATATATACAAATGAATATGGTAGCTATCATTTTCACATAAACTTTCTCGGTGAAGCTTCAGAGTTAATCAGTCAAATATTGATATTTGTTAGGCAGTGCCAACTTTAGCAGTCACATATTCAGAAAGCATCTATAGTAAGATTGAACAATTTGAACACCAATGCATGACCATTGCTTGCTCAATGTTGAGTCATGAAAAAAATGTTTTTTTTTTATCTCTATAACAATAGGGTGAAATCCAAACCAGTGAGAATATTCAGTATTAACTTTTGACTTCCTATCACAGTACTGTACTTTAGAATATTGACTATATGAACAAACCATAAAAATTGTTTCCAGTTTATTCCTTTTCTGTTAAGAAATATGTAAGTTATTTATACAGTCAGCTTATTAATCTTTTAGTGACTGAACTTGTTGCAAAATCTGACAAAAATCAGTAGAATTGATAAGTCATAAATTGTATTTTAACACAATGTGTAAGCACATGTTGCATGTTAGTCTTTTTCATTTATATTATCAATAAAAAGATAAAATAATAAAAAATTAATGCTCAAGACTTACGGCCACATCATGTTGAAACACTGGTTCCCGTACGATCACTGAAGTTACACAATGTCAAGCCAGGGTCAGTACTTCTACTGGTGACTGCTTGGGAATACCAGGTGCTGCTGTAAGCTTGAATGAACAGGTAATGTATTGGATAATGGCTTGGAATTGTTAATTGTGAAGCCGAGTTCCAAATATAGTTGGGTTCATGGTATTCACTTATGCACAAATACCCTTCAGAAAGGTATGAAGCCACTTCTTCTCCTTCCAGTTAATGTTTTATAAGACTTGTATCACTAAATCATTATTTCAAAAAGAAAAATATTCTTACAATGTAACTGGATTCAATATTTTTATATGTTTATGTTAAATTTGTAATCTGTAGGAGAATATTACCTGCTTTTTCAAATTGTTCTTGATTACATATCATTTCTCTTATAAATGCCCTTGTTTTCATTTGGCCTTTCTCTTTCCTTCTTTCTTTCTTTTCCTCCTAACCTTTTTTCTTATGTCTCTCTCTTCTTTTCTCTCACCTTCTCCTTTCATGTAAACATAAGTTTTGGATCGTATAATAATTTTCCTCATTTATTGTGTCTAATGTCACCACAAATATATCCATACTTTTCTGGTGTCTAGTTCTTTAATTTAGTTCAATGAATCAGTAGTCGATTTATGTAACTGATAATAACTCATATTTATCTGTATCTCACTCCTTAAAATCGTTATTTAACTTCTCTCTTTAAAACTTCATTCCTCATCCTCACCTTAGGCCCTTTCCTGTTCTTCTTTCGTTACACCTCTCTCTAGAGCTTTCATGCATTTCCTTCTCACCCTTGTTTCTCACTCCCACACATACACTTTCATTGAAATTTTGTTCTTTTAAACCCAGAGATATATTTTCTGTTTTCTTTTTGAATTTGTAGGTCTGATGAATTGGATCGTGTTACGATTCCAATGTAATAAATTATAACCTTGAAATACCAGTGTTTGAGCCTTTTATATTATATTCTTGGTCTGGCTTGTACATAGTTCTAGCTGGATTTTATCCTCTTGGAAATTATATATATATAGATCACTAATATTATCTATCTATCTATCTATCTATCTCTCTCTCTCTCTCTATATATATATATATATATATATATATATATATATATATATATATATCACTAGGCATTACATGCAAATGATTGTACCACTTGGTAAAAGATTCCTCATGGAAATACTGTTTTCAACAGTTTTTGGATTGCAAGAGAAAAACTGAATGAAAATATCCAAAAAGGTCATGTTGTGGAAGTTCTGGGCCATATAGGTAACAGGCATGACCGCACCTGTGATGTTTGTGGTATGCTTTGCTTGAATAAAGCAAGAAAATTGAGTCATATACAAAGTCATCTTACCAGAGCATCAACTAACTATGAAATGACATTAAATACTAACAATTCATGTCATATTTGTCAAAAAGCATGCAATTCAGCTGGTGGACTGAAAAGACACAAACATTAATGAAAATATACCTTATGACAACAAAATAGATGTGCCTCATGTATGCCAACTGTGTGCTAGAAGTTTTTACAAATTTGCACTTCACTTCAAGTGTTAGTACACAATTTCCTTTTGTTGCTACATATATTTTTGACAGTATTGTGTTGTTTTCATAGCACTTCATACAAAAGCAGGTTTTATAACCTGAAAAATCTCTGCTTCCAAAGTCCCTTGGTAGCTTCAGTGTACACCGTATCTAGCCTGTCATTTACCTTCTTAATAGGTTTCTGTGTTAAGTATCCAGTATTCAAAGGATAATTTTCTTTACTTCTATAATTAAATGATGGATTAGAATTCTAAGTTATTACCCTTCTTTCTGAGTGGCTGGTAGACTTTATTATTGAGGCTTAAGGTCCAAGAAATTCACTTCTTTCAATTTAGATGTTAATGCCCAAATCTTGGAGAAATTTTATAACCCTTTGTTGATGATGTTATTTTTCTATCTTTTACACTTTCTGAAGACTATCATCTCTGTATAATTCAGTATCCTCCATGATCAAAAATTAGCCTAACTTTAAGCACAAGTTAATAACTGATTTATAAACTTCAGTGCTATCACTACATAAATAGTACAACGTTGTTAAAATACATATGGGAACAGAAGGGCAAATATGGATGAATGTTTGAGGTGAAGTGGAAATTAAAAAGAAAAAAAGGTATTTACTTCCATAGGAAGTTAAAAAGATGTAATTTGTGCTAGGAAGATACATTATTATTCTCTGAGGAGAAAACATTGATTAAGTGCAGACATGAAAACCAGTATCAGTTATATAACCTACCTCTGACTACTGAAATATATATTCAGTAGTCAGAGGTAGGTTATATAACTGATACTGGTTTATGTATATAAATAATGATGAAAGTCTTATGATTGGAGTTCTGGCATGAAACTTGTAGTTGCAATTTTATATTCATTTGTGTTTTTATTGGTTTTATCTATTGCTTTATCCTTTTGACAACTTTAATTATTCTGAAGACTATGAGTCAGAAATTGTGTTGTTCACTGTATTAATTATTTGTTTATTAAAATATATACGTGTGTGTGTGTATATATATATATATATATATATATGACAATTTGGAAGATATTTTATGTTGACATGTTTCACTGATCAAACAGCTTCATTAGAAAAACATTTTATTTTTTTAAATCTACATTCTAGTGACAGAACATCATTTGCACTATTGATTTTTTTTTTTACATCAGATTCAATTTGGAGATTTAATGAAATTTAATTTAAAAAAAGAATCAAGTGTTCATATGCTTAACATGAATCACGCTCTTCCACAACAGTGTAGATTCAGTTGAAATAAAAATGATTTTTCTGATGATGGTGTTTGATTGGTGGAACATGTTAACATAAAAGTTTTTTCCAAATTGTCATATATTTATTGTTCTGTTGAATTCTCTGCCAAATTTAAATCATGCACATACACACACACATATATATATATATATATATATATATATATATATATATAATATGTGTGTGTATACACACACACACATGCATACACACAGATATGTGAAGAAGTGTGCTGAAAATTTCTCAGCATATCAAAAAGGTATGCTTATATATATATATATATATATATATATAATTATTTATTTAAAAATGATTCCAACATGCTACATAATATTATATATAATATATATTGTAGTGAAAGAGATAATCAGGTAATATCTCGAATCACAATGCGTGTATCCAGTCAGAAAAATAACTCACTCTCTAACAAACGCCGAAGCCAAAAATGCCCGAATTATCCGCCCTCCGAATCGAGAACACCAACTGCTTTTATCGGCAGAACCTATTTTTTTTATTTTTGTAATTATTACCAGCAAATTGAGTTTTCAGCATTTCTTTCTGCCCCCGATATTCGAGTCTGTACTTACAGTGATTTTTCTTTGTATTGTGAAAGTAATCTGCGACAAATACTTCCTTTGCTTTCAGAACGCTTACTTATATATATATATATATATATATATATATATATATATATTATGCTTCTTTCATTGAAAACCACTGACAAGGAAGATTTAATTAATCTTTGAATTTTTTTTTCCAGCAATCTAACATTTTTCCGTTTTTCGGGGGTTAAGGAATACAGGAAGTGTCCATAATTATAATTGTTCTGAGTGTTTTCGGGTATTTCTCTAGCCATTATCAAGGATGTGTTTTGGATGGTGAAATTGTGTGTGTGGTTGCTATATAGTAGTATTACTGTGTTGACTTCAAGCAGTTTGTGTGCTTCATGGTGGTCATGTGCCATGAGTGGCAGGTTGACTTGGGGCAAGGCTTCTATTTTTAGAATACTTTTAACATGCCATCTCCTCTACTAAATAGTTAAACAGTTATAATTATGGACAATTCCCATATTCCTTAACCCCTGAAAAATGGGAAGATGTTAGATTGTTGGGAAAACTCAATAAAAGATTAATCAAATCTTCCTTGTTGGCTATTTTCAATGAAAGATGCATGAAAGAAAGGTAGTTTGAAAAGTTCATGCACATTTATATATATGTCAACATCAATAAAGCTCAGTCCAATGAAATCCTAATAGAGGAAACACATCACAAAAACATTTTTCCAATTTGTCATACTATTTTTCTAAATGCTGTTTGTTGATAATTAAAATTATACATAGTTTTTATATATATATATATATATATATATATATATATATAGTGTGTGTGTAATTTAATTGGTACATCTTTAAGTAATTGAGATTTAATCAGTAAGCTGTGATATTATGTTGTGTGTATTGCTATTCAATATGATTGTGGTATCTTGCTTAAAGGAATAGTAGTGTGTAACTGTTTCAATAATTGTGATTAGCTAATTTAGGTAGTGTGATAACTACCATTCTCCTTTTCTTTCAAATTTTGGCATTGTGTCAAATTTTCTTGTATACACAGTTTATATAAGAAATATATAAGATACTTTTTTGATCAATTACAGTTATAGCAATTCTGTTAGAAGCTATTGAGGAGCATCGAAGAGCAGCTCAGAAGTTATGTTGAAATCCCAATGAGATATTGAGTTCCTTTAATTTTATCAGGTGGAGCAGGTCTGATCTTAAAAAATGTCAGACAAAAGTATAGAGAGATAATATAATCTTAATGTATTAAAAACATTAGTGAAGAATAAGGTTTGATTTTAAAAATGCACCTTGGTTTTACCTTGTGATCCATATCTTTACCAAATCAGTTAAGGTCAAGTAAATACGTCTCTCTCACAATTATGCAATCATGGCTGCTTTGTTTCTTTATATCATAAACAAGTTCTTGCATCTGTTCTACATGTTACTTTTACTTGAATTATTTGAATAATCATTTTACTGTATTAATAAATATGAAAATCTAAAATCAGAGCTAATAAAGGAGGGGTATAATGCAATTGTTAGAGCAGTGGAAATTGGAGCAAAGGGTTTCGTTTCAGGCACTCTGTACCAATTTCTGGGCCAAATTGGAATCAAAGGGTGTAATAGGGCCAAAAGTATAAAACGCCTAATAGAAGTAACTGAGAATAATTCTATGTGGATATGGAAAAAATGAAATACTCCGTGGAGTGTTTCAGCG